ACACACACAAAAAATATTTACTGAGTGCCTGGGTAATATATTGCTTGCTAGAAAAACAAAACAAAAACATACAGAAGCCACAGGAAATTAACAGATTGGAAAGAGAAAAGAAGTATTTTCTATAATTTATTTGAAGCTATGAAAGTTATTGAAGTATAATACTTGACTCAAACACTTTCTCAACAGCTGAAATTAATTTTTATGCCTAAGCAAGATATTGTATGGTGGTCAAACATATAAGGTTCACTGATTTTGAATATTCTATTCAAAATATCTCAAAAGAATAAAAGACTCTACAGTCAACTATTTGAACTAGCAGAATGAGTGAAGCGTAAAAGAGAATAAACAAAAAACATGGTTAGACATTGCATGGATATGAAACGAGTTTCTTCCACAAAATATTTAACTTGAAATCAGGGGTTGTTAATTTATCTTGCCTATGTCATCCACTGATGAACTCTGAGAGAAACTAAGTAAAAAATGTATATTCTCAATTTAGAACTGTTTCCAATTACACATATCCCATATGAATATACCATACATTTATTTTGAATACCTTTAATATTCTCATTAGCTGAACAGTAGATAATATAAATATTGGTAACTAATAGAGCAGCATTACCCAATTTGGCTGTCATTCATTTGAATGTGAACATGTTGAAAAAAGTCTTAATCCATAATGTCAGCTCCTTCGGTTTATTTCTATTTTCTTCATCTTTTAAAGGATATCTTTCTCTGAGAAAGAATTTTTTGGTATATGCATTTTGTTTATGCTACACATGCCAAATAGATCTCCCAAGATGAAATTCTAAGCTCATTTGGAAGTAATTTTTGGTAGCACATGAATCAGAACTCTTATTTTCTTCTCAGCACTACTGGTATTTTATTGCTTCCATCTATAGTCCAATATGCTTTTAGCGCTAAGAACCCTGAGGCCAAACACACAAAGCACTACGAAAATGGGAACTTCTGGCAATTACAATTTTTGTCTCTCTTTCAGGGTTCTTCCCTCCCCTAGGAGAATGAAATCACTTTAAACTCGCTATGAAACAGGAACATGGTGAGCACAAATGATTGACTGAAGTTGTTGATGTTGACTTAGGAGTCTTCAACTTATAGGTCAGGTATAAAATCCTTAAACATGCTTATCAAAATCTGCTTGTCAAAATCCTGTGAATTTTTCCAGACTCTGCTCAAATGTCACATTCTTTATGAAGGCTTTTCTGGTCAGCACAAGCAGATTTAGGCAATTACTCCTTTTTTATTAGGATCGTACTTTAACATATTACTATGGCAGAATGTAGCAAATTATATTGCATTTATTTTCCTGTCTTCCTTCATTCATGGAGGAAAAGCTATTCCCTTTCTTTGATTTCTGAACCAGAATTTTATCAAAATAAAAAATTGGTTCTCAATAATTAATTGAAAGAATAGTCATAAAAAGATCAATAATAATAACCTAAAAGGGAATAGCATAGGTTCCAAGGACTTTTTTACTTAGTGGTGAAAACAAAAGGCAGTAATTAGCACACTATTTTATACATGAAGAAACAAATGCCTAGAGAGGTTACAAGATCTACACAAGTTCAAAACTGCTAATTTGCACACCTAGTTCTCTTGCAAATGAGCTGGTAAGAATTTGCACACAGAAGTGTGAGTGCTAGTGTTATGTAAGACAAAGCAATAGCTGGCTTGAAGAAGAGAAGGTAAGTTAACTTGAGACTGGTTGACACATTGTAGGATAATGCTTACTTGTTTAGAAACCAACTGGAACAGGTCTCAGGAAGTATAGTACACATTAAACTAGACAAAAGAATTTCAGAGTATTCTCAATGAGAATAATTTGTGACAAATTCTTTTTCTTTAATCATGCTACATAGGCAGTGAATTCAGTAGAGAGAAAAAGACATAAAACATTCAAGTCTGCCATTTCTGAAATTCTGACTACAACTCAAAAACTATTAAAGTGGAAGGAGTTCTTAGTGATCACTACTCTAAGCTTTTTATTTTCTTTTTTAATTGTTTTAATTGTGAAAACACTGTACAGAGGGGTTACAGTTATATGAGCAAGGTAATGAGTACATTTCTTATCCAGCATTGTTGCCTCCTCCTTTGTTTTTCCCCTACCATCTCTTCCCTCCCACATCCTCAACTACACCCCCACCCCCACTGAAATTGTAAAGTTTGTTTTTTGACATAGCATCTTGTACACCTCATTGTTGCAATGGGTCAATCTGTATCCCTATCTAAGCCTTTTTTTATAGTACCCTAAGACTTTCTTTTTACAACCAAACAAAACAAACTACAGGAAGAAAATAGCTAGAAAAGGTAAATGATTTACCAAAAGTCACACAGCCAATTAATAGCAAAACAAAGACACAAAATGCAGTCTTCTTAGCAACAATATTTTTTGTAAAGCTATAATTGAAAAATGATACAAGAGTAGTAACAACGCTTGTAAGCATCTGGTTCATATGACTAGACATAGGTTATAACACAGGAATTGTCCTTAAAAGAAAGCTGTGCCAGGCACTGTTGATTCACACCTACTATACTCGCTACTAAGGAGGCTAAGATCTAAGGATCATGGTTTGAAGCCAGCCTGGGCAGTAAAGTCTGTGAGACTCTTATCTCCAATAAACTACACCAAAAAAAGCCTGAAGTGGTGCTCTTGATTAAGTGACTGTGCCACTTTCCTTGAGCTACAAAGCTCAAGTACAATACCGGGCTCTGAGTTCAAGCCATTGGACAAGCACCTTCTCCCCATGCCCTCTCCTCCCCCCCCACTCCCCACAAAAAAAGGAAAAGAGACGAAAGAAAGCTCTGAGCATTAGAAGAATACTGCATCTATGCTGGTGCTTCTGTGTGTATTGAAAAAGAAGGCATGTACAGTGAGAGGCAATGGTTTAAATTTTGATTCATATCAAAACAAGACATTTTTAATGGAGACTGATAATTGTGTGTGTGTGCGTGCGTGCGTGCGTGCGTGCGTGTGTGTGTGTGTGTGTGTGTGTGTGTGTATGTACCTCCATTTACCCATAGAAATTGTTGGTGCAGAAATAATTGTTAGATTTTTTTTCATTTCAATATGTTTAGAGAAAGATATTTCTGATTTCCATTTGTTCTTGACATACAGTATTTCCCCATTCTATATGGGGGAGACAATGAACTTGTTTGCTAACAATCATCCTGCTGGGGATGATTGCCAGGTTCTTTCTTTCAATATATAGACACTAACCTGTTTGATGTCAACTACCACTGATGCCTTTCTATTTCTTTTTCAATATTTTAACTGTCATGAGCCTTGAACTCAGGGCCTGGGCTCTGTCCCTGAGCCTCTCTAAGTTCAACTCTAGAGTTCTACCCCTTGGGCCACAGTACCACTTCTGTTTTTTTCTGTTTATGTGGTATTGAGGAATTGAACCCAGGGCTTCATGCATGCTAGGCAAGCACTCTACCACTAAGCCACATTATCAGCCCATAATCATAGTGTGTCCTTCCTTCTACTACTTCATTAGATTAGGAGCTGTATTAATATTGCATATATATAAGACACCTTTTGTTATGATTTTTTCTAAGAACCTAATAAGCACATTAACTGCCCAACCCCAACTAATTCCAATATTTATTATTACAGAGCTATAGACTAAAACCTGGGACCACATTCTGATAGCAAATTAGGTATTCACTAGTTCAATATAACATCAATTTCTTATTTAGGTTGCAAAAGGAACTTGTCCATCAATCACCATATATAATTTGTTAAGTAAAATGTGATTTTAGATATTAATTTTAAGCTGGGGGAAATTATAACATTATGCTATATAAGGCAGGTTCATTAAAGTACAGATTAATTCATTTTCTATAAAAATTTTTATAGAATCCACTTTGGAAAGCAGTATGGAGATTCCTCAAAAGACACCACATAGAGCTCCCCTATGACCCAGCAATCCCACTTTTGGGCATTCACCCAAATGTTTACAAACAAGACCACACTAAAGCTACCAGCATGACTATGTTTATTGCAGCATTATTTACTATAGCTCAGATATGGAACCATTTCAGATGCCCCTCAGTAGATGAATAGATCAAGAAAATGTGGTATATATACACAATGGAATTTTGTGCCTCCATCAGAAAGAATGACATTGCCCCATTTGTGAGGAAATGGAAAGGCTTGGAAAAAATTATATTAAGTGAAGTAAGCCAGGCCCAAAGAAACATAGGTCCCATGGTTTCCCTTATTTGCAAAATCTAGTATATGTCTGAGTCAAGCAGAAAAGGTCACATAAGGTGATGTTAGGGAAATGAACCCTAAGATATATATTCAAATGTTTTTTTTCTTTCATGTGATTGTTTCTAACACATTTATAAGATTATTTCTTTGTTGCTTTGTATGTCCCTCCCCCACAGTATAACCCCTGCTTTCACTGTATTTGATGTCGGTATAATTTGTGGAGGGGAAGGGGAAAAACAAATCATTTAAATAGGGATACAGGTGGACCCATTGCAACAATGAGATGTACAAGTCGTTATGTCAAAAACGAACTTTACAACTTTGGTGGGGGGGGGGCGGGGAGGTTTGGATGGGGAAGGGGGCGGAGGGAAGGATGGGAAGGGATGGGAAGGGAAAACAAAGGAGGAAGCTACAATGCTTGATAAGAAATGTACTCATTATCTTGCCTATGTAATTGTAACCCCTCTGTACAATATTTTCACAATAAAAAAAAGTAAAAACAAGAAAGGAAAAAATATTTTCATAGAATATTTCCTACATATACATAAAGTTGAAGAGAATTCATTTAGGCTCCAATTATACATTAATCCAGGCAATAATTTTTATCCAGGTATAAAACATCTGTCACAAGTATGAAATATCCATGAATTTCTGATAAGGTATTATAACATAAAATCAATATAATCTATAGGCACATAACATTTTCAAGAAGCCAAGAAACAAGAACAATAGGCTTTTCAATGCTTCAAGATACATTACTCACCAAAAACAGAGTTCGGAAGTTGTTGAGATCGCCAAAAAAGTCTTCTATGCTCACAGTCTTAGAATCAAAAATGAAGTATTCTCCAAGGTTTTCATAGAGCTTTATCATGTTATTGTGCATGGTGGATAGCTTTTCAAATTGTTCTCTGGCAGTTTTGATAAAGTTGTAACTTTGTGTTAAGGAACCTGATCCAAAAATATTTTTGGGACAATCATTAGATATTAACACTGAATCAAACCATGACTTTTATAAACATTTGTAGAGAACCTATACTTTTTTAATTAGTTTGTTAGGACTGCCATTATGAAAAACCAAGACTGGGTAGTTTAAACAACATACATTTATTTTCTCATATATCTAAAGGCTAGAAATCTGAAATGAAGGTATGGGCAGGTGTGATTTCTTATAAAACAGCTCTTTCTTGGCTTGTAGATGGCTATTTTCTTACTGTATTCTCATATGGTTTTCCATCTGACTGTGGTATTTATGTGATAATGTTTTCTTCATATAAGGACACAATTCATAATGGCTTAGGGTACATCCAAGTAACCTTTTATATTAATTACATCAGTAAAGGCCCTATCTCCAAATACAGTCACATTCTGAGGAATGTAGAATATTGGGTGGTTAGGACTTTTAAAACATATGAATTGGAAGGACCAAGCACTCAATTTAGTATAAGTTGTTAGAGTTGATGAGTTTTTAATTGGTTAAAATTTGTTGAAGTTGATGTTTCATTGTTTAGTGAGTTTGGATACCTCTAATTTAGGCAGAACTAAGGCAAACAATATGGGAAATATCTTGATTATCTCATATCTTTTATGAATGAAGGTAAAAGCAAGCAACAACTTCAGATAAAAACTTTAGACAAAACTATACAAGTAGTTTTTCTTCTTTAAACATAACAATAGAGAATCAGACAGGCAGATACAGACAGACAGGCAGACAGACAGATAGATATACACATTATAATGGGGAAAGAAGCTAAAAATGCTACATGTAAGTTACATCCATGTATACTTTACATCCATATAGAGAAATACATGTACTCATAAACACACACACACACACACACACACATACACGCACACACACACACACACACACACACACACACACACACACACACACACCAGATAAGTTGAAATAGAGGGCAAAGTGGGAGAAGAGAGTGACAACGTTTGGGACACACTACCCCAAAATTTGGTACATGAGCATTTAAGCAAATAGCATAAACAGATTTCTCTTTCCTAAATTTACCCTTCTTGAGTGAAGCAGCCAGACAAGAATGATCTGATCTGCCTCCAGAGAAGGCCATAAAATCCTCAATCCAGAGTTCCACAACCGCCATCTGAGCAAAACGAATTCTCTTATCTTGGGACATAAACACAGTGAAGAATCTGATTAGGTCTTGCTAGATTCCTCTCAATGTATGCCCACTTTATCCAATCTTATTTCCTCCTAACTGTCCGCTATTTATAAAAATCTAAATATAATACATAATAATACATAGATGTTTTCTTTAGGTTTTCATCTTTGAAGTTTCCCATACATCATGAAACTTTTATTAATTAGCTAGGAATGTGGGGACATACTTGTAATTCCAGTACTCAAATGGCTGAGGTAAGAGGTCCAGGATAATCTGGGTTACATGAGACCCTATCTCAAAACAAACAAACAAAAACTTCAAAGTAAAAATCAAATTAAATAAAATCAACAACAAAAAATAAATTACTTTAAGTAGATTTGTGTACATTCCTTTTGCTAACTTCTCTCACAAAGAAGAGGAAAAGCCTTCCAGAGACACAAGAGGAGGTGGGAATGGAGCAAAAAAGAAAAATAGTTGTTTTCAACCTTTTTGCTGGTTCTGGGGCTTGAACTGAGGACCTGTGAAGTCCCTGAGATTTTTTTTGCTCAAGATTAATGCTCTACCACTTGAGACACAACTCCACCTCTGGTTTTTTTGGTAGTTAATTGAAGACAAATCTCCTGGACTTTCCTGCCTGGACTGGCTTCAAACTGCAATTGTTATATCTCAGCTTTTTGAGCAGTCTTGAGCTACTGAGGCTCAGAAAATTAGTTGTTGTTTAGAAAGAATTTTGTATTGCTTTGGAACCCTAATCATTGAAAGTCTTGTTTAAACTAGAATGCTTGTGGAGTCCCAGATGAAATGTTTGAGACGGATCATTTCTAAGAGGATCCGAGATTACGCTAATGCTACTTGTCTAGAATCACACTTTAATAATATATTCTACAAAATTATGATCCCCAGAAAGTAATTATAAGTTTATTTTAAAACAAATTAGTAATAACACCATCTATAACTACAACACTATCAAATATAAAAATGGCTCCTACTAATAGTATATTATTATGCATCCATGTATACATATATAGGAAGAAATGATTATATTTACAGGAAGAAATTTTTCCTAGCTTTAGAAAATATATTGAAAATGACCTTTTATGTGACTTAAAAGTATAAAAACAAATACATTGGTAATATTTTCAAACAGATATTATGACACATGCTTATAGGAATGTTCTAGATAAAGGTAAGTAGACTAATCCTAAATAAAGAAAAACATATCAATATTCTGAAATTAGATTCATTAAAAATCTCTAGTGATTTCAGAAGTAAAGATCCTTAGAAGGAAAATAAATAGACTTGTACTTATGAAAGCATAGTAAAGGGTATACCACTTTAGGATACACTACAGTGAGTTAATATTTTGCGGCAGAATTACTTTTTTTTTTATCAGGAACTGATAATTGTGGCTTGAAATCCTGTATTTTATGGGGTTTTATGAATTCTTCCAATGTGTTTTATTATAACCTGGGGCCGAATTTATTTTCTGTGGGAACACAGTTCTCATTTTACAGTGAAAGTCAATGGGGAAATCAGACTACTTCTGGAAAATTACTTTGGAGCTCACACTTATGGAATATACCAGGACTTTAAAAAATGAGATGTCCCCTACCTATGGTTGTTTATGTACTACTAAACTATTAGTATTCACATTAAGCAACACAAGCCCCTTCCTACTAACAAGTGACATTAAATCTTTCAATTTGCAAGTCTATTTTGATATTAATGAACCTGAAAGAATCGATATACTTCTAATGGATACTGTTTTTATAGTCACAAAAGGATGCATAATATTTCATATATATTCTAATTTTATTTTCTGAGTGTATCACATATAGTTTTGATAATTAAGAACATGTTAATACCAAACTAAACCAAAACAAAACAACAACAAAAAACTAAAACCAATTCCAGGAACTTGCTAGGCAGAAACACTTTGAAAGGTCATTACTTGTAACCTATTTGCAATGCAAACTATGAAATCATTTGTTATGTGTCAGAAAGCTCAAAATTGGTAAAACGGTAAAAAAAAAAAAAAGCCACAGATAACAAAGAAGGCATTATGTTTACATTCCTCATTTATTCCAATGCAGTATTCATGGGCTAAAACATGCTCATGTCGTGAAACACAGTTTTCTAAATTTGCACTTATAGTAGAAAAACTGATTTCAGAAATTGAGCACCAAAGTGAGAAAATGTGAAAAATTCTAGCAATGGTTTATCTTTCTGATAACAAGTGGAAAGCAGCCCACACTCTTTAGTCCTTGTCTTCTCTGCAAAGCCATTATTTATAAAACATATAAATGGAATTAGGTATCTATATTTATGACATAATGTAGCTAACCCTTTAACTGTACTGTACTTATGAAAAAGGTGAGAAACACCTTTTAAACTAGCCTGCTGTTACACTTCCATGGGATTAAGATGGAATGTAACCAAGAATTTTAAAAATGTGTTGTACACTATTGGGATGGCTTTAACTAGACCAGGCAATATGCTGTTAGCTGTGTTTTGAGAGCACTCAGGGAGAAGCCCACAGCCATGTTTACAATGGAAAGGGAAAGCTGGTTATGGGGATATTGCTCTCTCAGGAGAAGTTCTCCTGACACAGTGCTCAGAGGAACTACAAAAAAGAATTGTTAGCAAGGTAGTGAAAAGGATATGTGCTTCAAGTACCCAAAATTCCTGGCCTTTGCACTACAGCTCTAACAGTAGAGTACTTTGGTGAAGATGACTAGACTATTGGTGGATCAAAATGTAGGATGGCTTCTTCCATCTCTTAAGCAAACCTTGAAGAGCCAGGAAGTATTTGTAAGTGGGGAATCCTGAAAAAATTATAAACTAAGATTTTAAAAAAACGTATAGCCATATCAACAAATAGAATCGAATCAAAATCAGAGGAGAAAATGTAATTCAGAATATTTTTTTCTTACAAATCCCATTTTCAAAGTCCTTGTTCTATGAAGATAAGTGTTTCTGGTGTTGTTTTAGCATAGGAGTCTATGAAATACATAGACATCACCTCTAAAAGAAGTGTCCATTTAAGAGTTATAAAAAAGTATGTGTAGCATTTTAAAATATTTTCAGGCAAAAAAGTCAACTATTCAAAAGCATTATTAACTTGAGGCCAATTGAGTGTTAATCATGATTCTGGGAAGTTACATTTATAAAACACATATCGAGTCCAGAAAGTATTTTCTTTTTTTATTTTAAATAAGTTTTTTTTATTGTGAAAATACCGTACAAAAGGGTTACAATTACATGAGCAAGGCAATGAGTACATTTCTTATCAAGAATTGTGGCCTCCTCCTTTGTTTTTCCCCTACCATCCCTGCCCTCTCATCTCCAAGACTACATTCCCCTCTCCCCCTCCCCGCCCAAAATTGTAAAGTTCGTTTTTAAACATAACGTCTTGTACATCTCATTGTTGCAATGGGTCTACCTATATCCCTATTTAAATGATTTGTTTTTTCCCTTCCCCTCCCTAAATTATACTAACATCAAATACAGTGAAAACAGGGTTATACCATAGGGGAGGAACATACAAAGCAACAAAAATTTACGTGGTCCCTTATAAATACATTAGAAACAATAGTAAGCAAGAAAAAAACCACTTATGTCCTTATCTTGGGGTTCATTTCGCCTAACATCTTATCTGACCTTTTCTGCTTGTCTCACACATATACTAGTTATTGAAAATAAGGGAAACCATGGGACCTATGTTTCTTTGGGCCTGGCTTACTTCACTTAACATAATTTTTTCCAAGTCTTTCCATTTCCTAATGAATAGGAGAAA